CTGACAATTTTATCAATGTCATTAGAAGAAAAAACATACGGAAGCCACTGTTTCATGTTTAAAGTCGACTGCCTCCCTCGACTCAATTAAACCTCAGCTGTTCCACTACCAACTCCCAGAACAAAACAAGTAAAACAACTCAAAATATTCCGGCACTGCTGATCTTCAATAAAAATAGTTCTCTATCTAAAATTAAACTGCACATCCATAATCTGCCATAAGTGTAACAAATTTTTTCTGACACTGGGATGATTTCTGCAGAAGCTCAGATTTGAAACTTAATAGCATTCCTTCCTGTTTTCTACAAGGCCTTTTCTTTTGCTCCCATCACTTCACTTGCACACTAGAATTACAGGGATTAACTGTTAGACAAACTGCATGAGCCAATACACTACAGACAAATCAACTGAGTTGATCTTTGCCAAGTAATGGTATAATTGCTAATCCATTGGCTCAAAGACAGGTAAGACTATCAGTGTCTAAACAAGGGTATGACTTTAAAATAAGCTCACTTACAACACCATAGAAGAGTCACACTCCATTCAATTATACCCAAAAACAAACACAACTGTGAATGAATCTCCAAGTCAGTCAGCTTCCCATGTTGATGGTTTGTCCAGTAATTGATTTAGTAACATTGATGTATTGGACATCAGTAGCAGTATTTCTGTACATACAGCAGTGACGATTTGTCCCTAACACATTAGTATTACTGGCAAGGCCAACATTTATTGCCCATCCCTAACTGCCTTCAAGACTTAAGCAGGATGCACAAATAAAATCCTAGCCTCAAAATATATTAGCAACATGACACTAACATGTGGTTCTGTCAGTCCTAATTGGGATGATAAACTTAAGTATTGAAAAAAATCAGGGAATGGCATTAAGGGGATGATCACTTACAGTTTTTGCCATAATATCACACCTTTTGATAATGGATTTTATTCTTTTAATTAAAAGTTATTATGAATACAGATAAAGCAAATTAACTGGATAAACCTCCAAGGACATTTTTCTTTATTCAGTAGTGACCTTCCATTCCTAAACCTTTTTAAAAGATCCACATGGCTGCCTTCAAAATTTCACGACAGCAGAATAGAGTGAGAAGTAACTAACTCAAGCCTGTGTGAATGTTTTCTTGCATACAAAGAGACTTCTTTTTTTTCCAAAAAACTGCTTAGATAAAAATTCAGATGTGGCAAATGACAAACCAACAAGTCTGAACCAATTTCAATCCAAAACAAGTACAGAGTTGATGCTGTGACAAGTTATTGCTCAGGGGAGTTGACGCCCTAGTGGTATTATCACTGGATCGTTCATTCAGAGACCCAAGTAATGTTCTGGGGTTCGAATCCTGCCATGGCAGATGGCAGAATTTGAATTCCGTAAGGATCAATTTCAATAAAATAAAACTCAATTAAGAGTCTAATGATGACTATGAATCCATTGCCAATTCTCAGAAAGACTGGTTCACTAATGTCCTTTAGATAATGAAACAGCCATCCTTACCTGGTCGGTTCTCTATGTGACCCCAGACCCAGAGCAATATGGTTGACACCTTACTGCACTCTAGGCAATTAAGGGTGGATAATAAATGCTGGCCTAGCCAGTGATGCTCTCTTCCAATGAATGAATTAAAAAATATTACCATTCCATATTTACTTAGAAACCTAATACCCTTCCACTACTTCTCTTGCATACTCTAATGTTATGCTGCTTAATATGTACCATATCTATTTTAGCCTACATCACTGACAGCTCTCCAGAAAATAATCAGCTTGAAGTTTTTCCTGTTTCTTGCTTTCTTCCCGACTCATATTCCTGTCCAAGAAGCCTTCCCCTGACCATAGAGTTTATTCCCAGTTGATTGATTGTTCAAACTCCCGCAAGTTGGTCCTTGCTCAGCATCTTTCACCCAGGCTCTCGTCAACATAATACAGTACTTCCGACTTCCTTCACAAATGCCCTCCACAGTCTGATCTTCAACAATCTCCTGTCTTTCCTCACAGGAAAGAGAAGTGTTGGGTCCGATTATAAGTTTGTAGTCTGGCTTTTTTGGGCTAGCACCTATCCATACAAGATTCCAGTCTCCCAACCATTATCACTGACAGAACTGTACTTATGTTATATCAGCCAATGTCCTAGGGAATTAATTCAAATTACTCTTCAACTACAGCAATCAATTGCTCAAGTTTGACAAGTTGACAACAACCAAGTACAGTTCAGTGCAGTTATCTTGATTAGAAAACAAAATCAACATCTTAGGGATTACTAGCAACCAGGAACTAAATTGCATTAGCCATATATATTCTGTGACTACAAAAAGCAGGTCAGAGGCTAAGAATCCTGCAGCAAATCGCTCACGTCCTGCCTCTCCAAAGCCTGTCCACCATCCACAAAGCACATTTCAATAGTTGATGGAATACCCTCCACCTCCCTGGATGTGTGCAGCTGCACTGTAATGTATTGGTTGTTGCTGAAGCATATTCCGTCCTTCTCAGAGCCATCCTAACCATATGGTCGAGCTTGAGAGGGTCAAAACTTGGAGCGGCAGGTTTTGTATGCTTGCCAGATGTGCCGATGTTACATTACAGTGCTTCAACAAATCCATCTCAAATTTATCCTGAAGCTACCCATTAAAATTTGAAAAGATCAAGCAGGAGGAACGTGCAAGTTATAAATTTAAGATTAGTACACCAACACTACGTCACACACAAGATAAATGCAAAAGGTTAAATAGCATTAACCATGCCATTAAAGCCCAAGTTATGTGAACTCCCAAAACACATCCGATGCAAAGACTATTCTCCACTGAGCTCTTCTTACCGGGGTTTGTGACCAGTCAGCCTGAGAATAGCATCATAAAACAACGCAGGTACTGTATGACTGACAGTAATCCAATACTGGTGCAAAATAGGATTGGACCGAAGGTTTACATTTGGGCGTCTCAGTGCCCGTTCTAAAGGATTCATCTTGAAGGACATATTTACATAATACTCTGCAGAGAAAATAAGTATTACTGTTGTTTTGAACAAAGTGTACCAGACACTCATGGGACAGTGAAACATTAAAAGGAAAAGTCCAGGCTTCAAAGTTAAGTTACAAACGCATTCCCACCATTTTGTCTACAAATCAGTTTCACAGTGCACATTTTCCATTCAGCCATGAGCTGCATAGATTAGCTGCCATCATTATAATTCTGCCTAAAATTAGAATAAATGGGAAATGTTAAAAAGTCTTTTGGTTTATTACTCAAAACAAGAATTTGCGTTCAACTTGGAAGGTAGCATTCTTGGCATTTGTGACTACTGTTAAGACGACTGGTCAGAATCCAGATTTTTAGCTTGTTTTCCAAAAAGTATATTTTAGAACAGGGAGGATACAGCCAAAAGTTACTGCAAATGTAAATTAAATGCCTTGTCTAAAGTGTCAAAGAAAGTTCCATCAGACTGGGCTGTGATCTCTTGTGACTAAAAACATGAGGAGCTGACAACTCTCTGCTCAACAGAAAGTCATCCCCTTACAGGCTATGTCTGAAATTTCAGGCACAATGTGTGTTTTCCCCTTTGAAGAATACACAAAGACAGGGGTTAAAAGCAGCTTCAACTCTGCTGGAGTGGACTAGTGGGATTGAATGCCTTCATGTGTACCAGCCTAGGATCAAGCGTGTTACACAGGCCACAGTCAATGATCTCCCAGAGCTAACCTTGTTGCAGGTAAAGACTCTCTCTCATTTCAAGTGCTGCAAACCAATTTAAAAAAAGGAATCAGGACGATGAGACTTTTATCTGCCTACAAATCCAAGAATATTAAGAATCGACTGTTCAACTCCCAATGTCAATACTACCAGTAACCTTCATTGCAATGATCACCACATTAAACTATCTGTTCTTAAGAAACAATTCAGAGAGTGATCTGTGTGATATACTTACAATTATATCTTTTTGAACTCATGTTTTACTTACGTAAACTTGTTGCTTTAGTATTTTCTCACTTTTTGTTAATTCAAGAATGCCTGGTTGAATTGGCTCCATTAAAAACATTTCATTTGGGTTAGGAAGAAAAAGTTACCAACAAGGAAGGCAACCTTTCTACAATCAGAGATAACACACGATGGAGCTGGACTACCACAGCAGGCCAGGCAGCATCAGAGGAGCAGGAAAGTTGACATTTCGGGTCACGACCCTTCTTTCTGAAGAAGGGTTCTGACCCAAAACGTCAACTTTCCTGATCCTCTGATGCTGCCTGGCCTGCTGTGCTCCTCCACCTCCAGTGTGTTATCTCTGACTCCCGCTTCAGCAGTTCTTACTATCTCTTTCTACAATCAACCTTGTTGCAACCAAGCTGGGGCAGTGGGGTGGGGGATGGAGTCAATAAAGTAGCAAAGCCAGTTCGCTCCTTCTCTGACAGAAGCTGAACAGTTTGGGGTACCCCACTTGGGATGATAATGAATTGGCAAACTTTACCTGGGGTCTGGTCAAAACATGATCTTGTGCACTGGAAAGGTTAAATTCAATCTGAAAACAGTCGATTCCTCTACGCTCTTTCACAGGGCATTAGGATGAATTGGCATTGAAGAACAATTTATTTACCAAAGCTATTTTCTTGTCCCCGACACCCACTAATATTGAAATTTGACAAAGCAACATCATACTAAGGTGTATGAAATACATGTGTTATTCAACCTGAAGAGTTTGTTGAAATATATTAGCAATTCCTAAACACTTCTAAGTTCCAATGATTTCAACAGTACCTAGTGTTAGAAAATTTGGGCATCATTATATTATCCATCCAGGAATTAGACACTTGCAGACATCCAATCAGTGTATACAGATGCTAAAATTAGATGGCCTCACCGCGAAGAATCTTTGCAAGCAAATAACTGGATAGAAAGTGTAGTTCGAGGCTTTTCTAAAGTTGAACCAAAAGATGAGCTTTTTCAGAAAATATACATTGCTTCAGTTAATGATACAGCACAGGGAAAAGCTAGCCACCATTACCTTGGTTTTCTTCCAGTAAGCCTGAGGTAGACATCATACAGGAATGCTGGGGCCTTATGGCTTACAGCAATCCAGTAGTGATAGATCAAGTGATTGGAGGTTAGATTTACATTGGGCCGTCTGAAAGCCTGTTCGAGAGGATTCCTCTTGAAAGTAGATGTTACATGGTACTCTGGGAAAGAAAAGTTGCATGGTAGTATAATATTTTTTCATAATTGCTAAAACCTCTATTGAGGCCATAGATTTATGGCTACAAAAGAATCATGATATCCACTGCATAACTTTTTTAATCATCACAAAGTGGCACTACTGTCAAAATGTGATTTTACTGGGAAACAAATTTACTGCAGCTATTCAAGAACAAGTTCATATTTGTATTCTAATCTAACTTCTGATCAATTTAATTGTTATTTCTCCCATTGTTGTGTAAGGAAGAGTTTTAAAATGTGAATAAACAGATAGAAAGTGCAAGTTACTTGGCTCTGGTTGTACCACCATTTGATTTAGGTTCAGTTGGAAAAATAAAACATAGTCCAGACAGAAAAAAGATTTAGTCTTCAAAAGGAATACCTGAACTGAATTTTTTCCTTAAAGCCTCGCCAAATTGACCATCCAAAACAGGCCCAACGCCATAGGAAATAAAGCAAGATGTTTGTTCACCAACCAGACATCCAAAACATAACTGGTTTTGAACATGCAATTCTAACTACTGCAGAATGATGAAACAAAATACACTAAACTGTAGCAGTGGAATATGCAAACCATATAAATGAACGCAGATGGATTTCCAAATTGGCGTTACACATATATGCTCCAGCAGAATAAAGTCCTGATATATTGTGTTTTATTCATTCATTATTTATATGGAGATATGTTAGCCCGTGCTTACATTACTGAACCAGTAATCCAGTAGCCTGTACTAACGATGGAGACACCTGAATCCAAGTTCCACCACGGGAGTAGTATTTAAATCCAGTTCATAAATAAATTTGGGATTAAAAGCTCGTATCAGTAATAATAACCATGAAACCATCAGGTGGTTGTAAAAACCCATCTGGGTTCACAAATGGCCTTATAGCAAGGTAATCTGCAGTCTTTACCAGGTCTGGTTTTTGTATGGCCCAGATCAACTTTCAAGATGTTTGACTTTTAACTATCCTCAAACAGCCTCACAATCCACTCACCTGCATAGTAATGGGCAATAAACACCAGCCTTGTGGGCAATAACCATATCCAAAGATTAGAAAAAAATTATGTGACGTAGGTATTGCTAGCAAGGTCAACATTTATTGCACATCCCTAATTGCTCAAGTTAGTGGTGGTGAGTTGCCTTCTTTAATCCCTGCTATCTATGTACTTCTAAAGTGCCGTTGGGAGTGCGTTCTAGGATTTTAACCTAGAAACAATGAAGGAATAGCAAGTTAAAACTTGAAGGTGCCCATGTATCCTTTCAGATCTAGTAGTTGCAGATTTGGGCAGTGCTATTGAAGGAGACTTAGTAACTTGCCCTAGTGCATTTTGTAGTTGATACAAACTGCCTTAGTGGCAAACAGAGTGAATGTTTAAGGTTGCACTCATTGAAGTGAGTGGAATGGATTCCATACCAATTCTGATTGAATCCTTTGTAGATTATGAATATTCTTTGGGCGTCAGATGAATTACTAACTATCCAAATTTCAGTTTCTGAGTTTCTCCTGTAGACACAATTCCTGCTTAATAGGGTCACCAGGATGTTGATGATTTGACAATGGTCATTTCAAAATCAGCTTGGGGAAGTGACTGGACAGTGTTGTTAGAAGATGGTCACTGCTTAATACTTATTTGGCATGAATGATATTGGCCACTCCGGTCCAAGCCTGAATGATGTCCAAGTTTTGCTGCATGAAACTGCTTTGTTATCTGGGGATTTGTCAATTGTACTGAACAGAGTGCGATGAGCAAACATCCTGACTTCTGACTTTACTTTGGACAGAAGGTCATTAATGAAGCTGCTGAAAATTTCTGGGACTAAAACATTGCCCTGAGGTAGTGCTTCAGTGATATCCAGGTGTTAAAATGATTGGCATCCAATGACCAACCGTTTTCATTTATGCCAGGTACAATTACAGCCAGCAGAGAGTTTTCCGTAAATTCCACTGATTTTTATTTTGCTCTAGCTCCTTGATACTGCAGATATTCAAATGCTGCCACGTTCAGGGCAGTCACTCTCACTCATTTTGAGGAACTTGGTTCCTTTGTCCACGTTTGGACCAAGGCTGTAATGAGGTCTGGTGCTGTATAGACCTTGCAGACTCCAAACTAAGCTCTGATGACTAAGTTATTTGTCAGTGACCCTAGCTTAATATCAATTACACATTCCATTGTTTCATTGCTGACAGAGTAGAATGATGGGGCGATAACTGATTGGATTTGATACGTCCTGCATTTTGTAGACAGCGCCGCACACACACACACACACAGGAACTTTTCACATTGCCAGGAAGATACTGACAATGTAGCTGTCCTGGAACAGCTTCACTAAAGGCATAGCTAGTTCAGAAGTATAAGATGTTGCCTTTGCTACGGTATCCAGTGCACTGACTATTTCTTGAAGCCACGCAAAATGAGTCAAATGATTGAAGACTGGCTTCGAAGATGGTGGGGATCGCTGGAGAGAGCAAAGATGAATCAGCGACTTAATGTTTCTGGCTGAAGGCTGTTGCAAAAGCTTCAAAACTCTTGTTGTCATCAAACATTTGAAACCAGACTTCCTGGTCTACTGAAACAGAGTTATGACCCTCAGCTGTGACAAAACTAGCAAAGCCAATTGGCCACCATTTTAACGGCCTAACCCATTTCCCCACCATGTTTTGCAGTACTCATGGAAAATATCATGAAATACAGTGACAAAACAAAAAACAAAATATCTAATGGCACAAGGAAAATGAAAAAGTATTCTTGTTTGTTTGCGTGCATAAGTGCATGGATGTACACATTGTATAATTTTTTTACATGTAATGATGATACCAGCTGTATTGTATCCAACGGAGTCAAAAGATTGAACCTCCAAGAACAAGTAGTTTAATGGATGAACTTTTCTAAATATAGGAATACTTTCCAATTAGATATTACACTTCCAAACACAACTTGGGTTCAGGGTCCTACATCGCCTGTCTCAATCTCAAGTGCACTTTGTGCCTGTGACATGAAACCTTTGGTACACTGAAATAATTTATGCATTTTAAGTTTATAGGAAATAATTCATTTACCATATTTATATCTGAAGAAGCAAATCAGTGGCCATTTTACTTATAAGCTAACGACTGTCACTTTATTAATCAAACATCATGTTTGGACTCGAATCCTGTCAAATTTGAAGGGCAGCAGGGGAAGATCAGACAAGAGGAACATCACCTTTAAACCCATTGTACTCAGAAGTGTAGCTTTAAGGCAAGGCAATCAGGTTGGCAACAACATGGTTGACACAAATCTGTCTTGAAATTTCAAGATAAGATTTAACCTAAAAGAATAAATTTAGTAACGCAACTTTACAAATGAAATTGCCTTTGTTTGAGAGTGGAGAAAAGTAAATTTGAATTTCTTTTTTAAAAATGTTCTGCTCACTACACTAACACATACGTTAAAACATACTTTTCAACTTCACTGGATTATTTGAGTTGTAGTGGTGGCTTTCTTTTCTGTACAAGCATTGCCACACAGGCAATTAGCCAGAAAATAATTAGCCATCAATGGATCAGACTACAAACTCTATTAATCATGAAATCAAAACAGGCTTCCAAACCATGCAGGAAAACTAGCCAGGCATCCAGACAAGTACACTTGATAAGTGGCTCATACAATTTTGGTAGTGTCAATTCTCCTCTTGCCTCATCTCAGTTAAAACAGTTCATTGCTGGCACAGGCATAGCTAATTAGTAAGATACTACATTCCACTGTATTATACAAGCAATAATACCACTGAACTAAAGTTACACTGCAAATAAATCAATGGCAAAAATTTAGCATCGATGCAACAGTCTGTTAAATCATGTTTCATACCAACTTCACCCCAGTGGAAAGGATTGGTGCCACCTGTAGTACAGTTGTAAATCAAAATGTTTCTTGGTCTGAAAGATAAAATTGAAATAAAAGTAAATGCAATGTCACTGTCTGAATCTTAACAGAATTCACCTTAAATATCACAATGATTCAACTCCACAACCAACACAAAAGGTCATGTGTTGGAGGGGTGCTGATGGATTGTGTCTCAGGGATTTCCTTTTCAAACAAATTGCAGATTTTCCCATGGAACACACAAAGGATTTTACCTTGAACATCCATAACAAAAAAAAAGTAGGCAGGTACAAATACTAACTTAAAATATCATGGACTATTAACCTTTATCTTGAGACATTACATTGTATTTTTGTTTCTTTTTTCCTCTTTTCATGCTTTTCTCCCCCTTCTTCTTACATCCCATCCTTGAGCCTCGAGTTAAGTCATCGTGACCTGCCACCTCAAGAGCCTCAACGTGAAACCAGCATGGGCTCTCGACCTCAGTGCAGACTTCCAGCCTCAAGGTGAATCCAAGCACACTCCCAGCACTCCAGCCTTGAGGTGAAGTCCAGCACGGTCTAGAGTTGACGTGCCGGCGTGGTCTGGATTGGAAGGACTGTTGATTGTTGATCTGAATGTTCTATTCCTCTGTTTTTCTAATTTATTCCTATGGTTTTGTACTTTTGTATACAAGATAGCACAAAAGGCTGTAATGCTGGACTTTTTATTTCTTTATATTTGTAACTTTTTCCTAAGAATTTGTACTTAAGAATCAGTACCTAGGTACTTTTGCCATAAGTGGCAACTTGTAAACTTTTCACTGTACTGATGTGAGTACATGTGACAATAAAGCTATTTTTAATTGAGGCTGTGATTCGACATATAGAACTCTGGATAGACTTTGCCTGAAATATTGTATTCAGTTCTAGGCAGTGCACTTTGGCAAGATTGCATAGACCTTGGAGGGGATATAGCACAATTCAGCAGAAAGATATTGAGAAGAATCTATTGTTATGGAAGTCTTAACAATGTACATCAAAAAATATAGCATAATCAAATAGATAAAGTTAGCATGTTTAAGAATGCAACTGTAACATAATATGCTTGAATTTCCTGAAGACATTCCATTTTGTGCAACAGAAAAAGTTAACGTGGAAACCAAGGGCTCCTGGATTTGGGGGGGGTGCAGTAATACATCACCGTGGATGGAGGATTGCCTGACAAACAGCAAGAAAGCACAGGGTGAATGGGATGTTTTCAATTTGGGAGGTTGTGACTATCAGAGTGCTACAAGGATGAATGCTGGAGCCTCAGCTATTTACAATCTATATTAATGATTTAGATGGAGAAAGAGCAAGTAATGTATAAGCTTGCTTTAAATGACACAAAGCTAGATGCGAATGCAAACTGTTAAGAGAAAATAAAAAGGGCACTAAGCAGTAAATACAGTTTAAGTGAATGATGTGGTAGATGGAGTATGATACCAGGCAGCGTGAGATTATTTATGTTTGGTGTAAGAATAGAAAAGCCGATATCTTTTAAAAAAAACATGTTATTTATAAATGATGTTCGGAGGGACGTATAGGTACTTGGTTAACAAGAATCTGTGAACAAATTTTAAAATCAATAGTTAATCAATATACTTGTACAAGATACAAAGAAAGTTAGCATGCATTTGGGAAAGCAAATGGCATATTGGGCCTTTAGTGCAATTGGATTAGAGTATATGAATAAAGAAATCTTGCTCCAATTATACAGAGATTAGTGGAGATCACACCTGGAATACAGTTACCTATGTTGGATTCCATCTTTGATGGAAAGACACACTTGCATTGTAGGCAGTACAGTGAAGATTCATTAGATTGGTCACTGGGATGAGTGTTTTGTCATATGGTGACGGACCAAGTACACTAGGTCTATATTTGAGAGTTTAGGAGAATGGGAAATGACGTCACCAGAATATTCAAGATTCTGAAGGGGCTTGTCATGGTAAATGCAAAGACATTGGCTTCTCTGGCTAGAGAATCTAGAACAAGGGATAAAGTTTCAGAATAAGGGGCTAATCATTTAGGCCTGAGTGAAGAGAGATTTCTGCAATCAGAAGATTGTGAATCTTTGGAATTCTCTACTCGAGAGCTGTGGATGCTCCATCATTCAATTTATTTAAGGCTGAGATTGACATTTGTTGTAAGTCAGGAAATCAAGGATATGAGAAGCAAGGAGAAAAGTGAGATTGAAACTACAAGTTCATCTATGACGTTATTAAATGATGAAGCAGGCTCAATGCAATTTATTCTCGCTCCTATTTTTGTTCTTACAGGACTAAAGCTGTTCTCTGGAGAATAAAAGATAAAGAGGTGATCTAGAGGAGGTTCAGGATGATTACAAGTGTTGCTAGAGCACAGGGAGGAAAACGATTGTTTACTCTGCTGGAACTAGGCCATTCAAGGATAAAGTCAGGAAGCATTTTCTCACAAAATGCACTGGAAATCTGAAACTGTTTCCTTTAAAAAGCTGTAGAGACTGGAGGTCAATTGAAAATTTCAAATTAGAGACTCAAGATTTTGTTAAGCATGAGTATTAAGAGTTACAGAACCAAGGCAGGTAAATAGAGATAAGATACAGATAGCCATGATCTAACTGAATGCCAGAACAAGCTCAAGGGGCTGAATGATCCTGTCCTGTTCCCATTTTAAGGAGACAAAATGGCAGACCTCCCAACTCAAGTTTTCAACATGCATGATACCCGTTTCTTGTCCTCACGAAACCAATATAACTTAAATAGGGAGCACATTCCAAGGAATTTCTTGCCTCCATGAAAGTTCTGATAAGTATTTCTAATCAACCTGTTCAGATGTATTGATGTACACATCTGGAGCAGGTGGACATGAACTCACACCAAAATTGTGGTAGCTACATCAAGGTTAAGAGGAGTCACCTGCTGTACCTATGAACTCCCGAATACCATGCTGCCGCCAGAGTCATGTTTATAACCACATCCACTGGAATCAGGTCTGCAACTGCACTGTTTGATGCTCTCATTGTTCGAAGGATTCCTTTTCCAGCCTGAAAGATCAACCAATTTGATACAGGGGAATGAAAATAATACACTATTATAAAGTTCTGACACTCAATTTACAAAACTGCTGATATAACAATGCTGCGTTAGAAGATTGAAATTTACCACAACTAAGTGCCACCTTTTGAGAAACCGCTAGAAAGGTAGTTATTCAGGTAAGTGTCGCCCACACAAATATAAGGTTTCAGACAACGAGCTGCGTGCTACTTTCTGCTATGTGCCGATGGCTAGGAGCCTCTGATGACAGCATGCAGGGAGAATATTTACACTGGACAGAAAGTTGGCACTTTTGTGTTACCAGAGATTAATATCATGGCAGTGTTTGGACAATTACATATTTAACATCAGAGAAACTTTTGCAGCATCCCTCAAAGTCCACTCATCATTGAGTGTTTTTATTAAAAATACATTATTAAACAAATGAAATATATAAGTGAAGAAAATTTGAGATTATAGGCAGCAGACTATTCTGTCTCTCAATCCTGTTCTAGCATTCAATGAAATTATGTCTGATTCATGTCAAAACTCCATACTCCTGCTTAGAACCTTTAACAAGTTCAGTTAACTAAAATCTCTCAACAAATTTTGCAATCATTAATGGATTTGACAGCAATTACTGTTTGCAGACAAGAACTCCAAACCACTACCACTGTTGTGCAGAGGTTTTTGCTAATTTCATATTATAAAACACTAATTTTTAGACTATGTTCATTAGTCCTAAACCGGACCAGCGGAAATAGCTTTTTTTTCTCACTCTGTTTTCCTTCAAGTCTTGAAAATGGGAATCAAATCACACAAATCTCTTACATTACACGGAAAACAACCTTAACTCTAGTTTATGCAAAAATTTCCAGATTTTGATGTGCTGCATTTCCTCCAAAGTTGATATTTCTTTCTCAAGTTCTGACACCCTGAACACGTCTCAGTATACCAAATGTGGTCCAACTCATGCTTTGGTCTCAGCAGTGGAAAGACATAACCAAATTGGGGTTAGGTCAACACAATCTGTTAACACACTGTTTCCAAGGACAAGGCCAGGAGCAATCCTTAACATTAGATACACTGAATGAAAATTTGCAAGTTTGGCTTGGAGCAGCTTACAGTACAGCAGATGGGATATGGGGTACAGAATCATGTCAGTACTGTCAATGGTAAAATACTAGAAAAATGAGTACTAGAAAAATAAATAGGGCAGTTTCTCTAAATAGAGAATTAAAAATAAAGATTACCTGAAGAATTTTATTATTAAGTTGACCGTGGTCCAAGTCTAACTGTTGTGGCATTACAGATAATTTATGAAGAAAATTAAAACTCCAATGTTTTCTCGTGTTCAACTCGTTTCTAAAATAATTTTGTTTTTTATAGGGATACTGGCAAGTTATATTTGAATAGTTTCTTTATATCTCAAATACTGACTTGTAGAATACAAACTACAACTCTGATCACCAGGACTTGCATTGTAAAGTAACAGTAGCTGATGAACTGAAACAGATATCACATGGCATCATTAGCAAATGGGGTATTGAATTATAGGATGAAAGCACTTTATTTTCTGACTGAACACAGAACACAACGGATAGTCTGTTTTATATGAAAGATTTGAGCACCAAAGAAATGATGCAACTTAGTATTACTTACAGCAATGAAAAGCCCACTAGGTCCATTGAAATTATCAATCCAGCCCTATTTACCAAAGACACAAGAAAAGAGATTTGAAGATTGTAAGTTGCTTAGAACTTACTTACATTTTACATACACTGAGCATCTGATTAAATACCCTCTCTTAAGAGACAGTGCAATGACTATAGTGAAATTCCCCAAGAGCAGAAAGGGGAAGTTGGGACTGTACTGGTGTTCCTAAAGTCAAACAGCATTAAACACTGGAAACAGATAGTCTTGGACAAACATTGACCAATCTAGCACAGCAAGAATAATCTAGAGTCATCTGGTCAACTTCCAAAGCCTGAAATAGTGACTGCAGATACATAATGTGTCTCACAAAGCCAAGGTAACTGAAATGACTTTTCTTTCACACTTAATGCTTTGCCCCTCAAGCCTGGAGATTTAGAAATAGTTGTTCAAAGTGCTATTGCCTCCTTGCTTGCCAAATCCCTGCACAAAGACCTGTGGTCATAAGTAACTTCAGATAGATACACATTTACAGTAACATGGATTGAAGATTTTAGTGAGTCTTACAAAGCAGTATACTTACATATCCAATCTGCATCAAATAAGAAGCTTAGACTTCCTTTTCTTAAAAGTATGGCTATCATCTGCAATTTTCTTTGTTGCATTACTGGCAACTTTCACTATCTGGACCTTTACTGTGATGTTCATTGCTTAAACTTGTGTCTCTATGCAATCTCCTCCTTAAAACCTCACTCTGACATAGAATCTGCTTGCTTGGCTCAATATCAAATTTTGTGTGAATCTCTTCAATGAAGCACATGGAATGTTCAAGATGCTGTATCTATTACCGCTGTACAAGTTTTTGAACAGTCTACTCAAAACTTACAGGAAACGGTTCCTTCCAGCTGGCTCCCACAATAGAAGGTCTAACAATGGCAACATTTAAGTTTCCACACTCTTGCTGTACAACATATTCTGCCATGGCTTTAGTATATGTGTACGTATTCGGTCTCTCTCCAATTAGTTTTCTTGTAATGTCCTGAACAAGGCCATCATCCATCCACCTACATAAAATTTAAGTGAAAAACATGAAACTTTCAAAAATAAATGATCTATATTTGAACTATGTTCAAAAGTAATCATTGATAGAGGTACTGTTATAAATCAAAAGGTACCACTTACATGGGTCACTAACCTCAGTGAAATAAACCTTCTAAAAACTTCAAACAGGTTATCAAAGTTACAAATGAGAACACTACAGTGATGAGTGAACATCACCTTACGTGACAAAATATTCAAGTACTCTATTTAGTTAAATACAAAACTGCAGAATAATATTATACCTAAAAACCTATTGCACCAGAAGGTAAGAGCCTGCTTTGAAATCTAGCACTTGTTTGCATATGACAAGCCTTTTTTTTTAAACAAGCCATCAGCTAAAAGTAATTTATCATCCATTCTCTGGATTACAGAAATATGACTTTAAAATAGATGAAATTTTTTTTGCACAACATGGGATGGAAGAAAATTGTAAAGATCAAATGGAGTAATGTACCCTACAGAAGAATAATCTAAACAATGAAAATTATTTATGTATTGCAAATATAGTGCTGGGAAAAAAAAATAAGACAACAAACATACTCCAAAGCTTCAATCAATTTTTTAGGATCAACTGGAGGTGGATAAATGACCTCCTCAATTTGTTTGCGATTGCAGTGTGCATATGCAGTGGAAACATGAATGAAGATTTCAAGCTTCTTCATCAGCTGTGCAAAAGCAAGGAGTTGGCGGGTAGCAACTACATTCAGTTGCATTGCATCTCTGAAAAAGAACAGCAAAGATCATCATCAGATATCTGACATTTGACAAGACAAAATACTGGCTAATTCTTTTACAAAATAGGTTCATTATCGAATAAGGCTTTGTCTAGCATTTATCTCCAAGTTTAAGTTATCACAATTAAACAAAATATAAGTAAAGCCCAATTTCAAAAGAATTAAGCATCAAAGCTCTTGGCTGTAGACTTTTACTGCACAGAAGTCACAAGAAATCATCATTTTGCACCATGACGACCTTCATTAGGTCACCAAGATTGTAAATTTGTTTAATGTAAACAACAAACTGTTTACCACTCACTTAAATTTGATTAGAATTAATGTTTAACCCGAAGGTAATCTGTTGAATAAATTTTGTGTCATGAGACTTGCTTAAGGTCACCACTTTTCGGAACAAATAAAAATAATTTAAAATATCCAATATAAATTCACAAATCTATAAAGCCTGACTATGTTCAATCTTAGTTTGGGAGCACCAACCTAAAAATTCTGAAGTGACATTATGCAACATTATAGATAAAAAATTATAGTTTGCCAAGTTGGGCTTAGCAACAGTGTTAAGTACAAGGTAGTGTGTGTAAAGTTCCACTTAAATGGGTGCAAGAATTTAAAGCCAAAGAGCTGTAAATTCACTCTCACTCTCCAAAGCCAGATGCACAGAAATTGTTTTACCTAGAACTACTGATCACTTATAAAGTTGTATATCACTGTAGGTTCTCCAACTTAATAAGATTCTGAAAGGTGAGACAGCAGAACATTTCCAAATTTTCCTCAATATGCTTAATCTTTCATAAAGGCACTTTTCTATTAGATTCATGAAAAAAGATACTTTTTAAAACATACTGAATTCACTGCACAACAGCAAATGCACAAATAATTAGCTTAAAAACCAATGAATAACCAATTTGGGAATGTCTGTTTTAATATCAAATCAAATGTAGTCTTGCTCACTGTACATTTACAACCTTGACTCTCGGGAGTCAATTCAGTCCATAAAGTTAGGGGAGGAGAAAACAGAAAACTGAAATTGCACAACACTGAAAAACAATGAATCATTTGGATAACTACTGCACTACACCAGGGCAGTTAGCTTCCAATGGGGAGGCAGTGGGTAGGAATGTGGTGGTGGTGGCTGCGTCAGCAAAGAGGCTAGCATGAATAAATTGTGTTGTGTTAACAAAGATATTTGCCAGATTCACTGAGGTTGACAGCATTTCAAAATTTGGTGTTGTTTTACACTGCACAATACCTAAAAACCAGGCACTGGAGACACTCCAATAATACCAGTTGGTTGAAAAATGCTGAGCTGCTACATTTTCAGTTGTCTAAAAATTTAATGGCTCATGTGAAACTTCCCCCATTTTAATGTGCATAAAAATAAATCTATGAAATATACAGCAATGTACACCTAACAGTTCTAAGGTACCCTAGTTCCACTCTCTAATGCAGACAGCAAGTCTCAAAATCAATGCCCTCTCTCAAACCCACAATCTCTAGCACTGATGTGCCAGGGCAGCAGGCACATGAAAATACCACCAGCTCCAAAATGCTCATCCAAGTCACACACCATACTGACTTGAACAAATATCAGCCAATCTTTTATTGTCTTCAGATCAAAATCATCTAACTCCCCTGAACAATGCTGTCGGATCACCTACAGACTGCAGTTGATTCATCATTATTTTCTCAGGGAATAATTGAGGTTCAACAACAAGATACACTAGCCTCACTTGTAATGCCCACATCAGTGAATTTTAAAAAAAAAAACTTTTTTTTTGAAAAATGGGAAAACCTACTTCAAGGTTTCATTGAAGCGTACAGTGGCTGCACAGTGAAAGACTATATTAATGCCGGAAGTCAGGAGTTCCTTGTCAGTCTGACTAAGCCCAAGCTCCGGCTGGGTCAATTCACTGCTCACTGCTACAACTTTCTCTTTGAAATCCGGTTGTTCATCTCGCAGTCTGTCAAAAAGCTACATGGGGAGAACAAACATGAAATTACAGAACTACATTAGACAGCTAGCAGAATTAGTACAACTACCTCACCCATGCAGTAGCTAACATATTCTCTAATTAAGAACATATTACAGAACTAAGTAGTATTGATTCTCAATTCCAATCATGCAGTTTGGAAAACACAACAGTAAAATTGCAATAAATAAAATTGCAGATGCCCACCCACAAATCCTTGTTAAGCAGAGCTTCAAGGTAGCCAAGAAAGGCCCTATGGAAACTGATTCACCTGCAAGCGTACTTGACATCAAAAAAATACAGTGACCCAGTGAACTTGTGAAAAATACCTTTATTTTGTTTTAAAATGTTCAGACACTACAAATAGCCTGACTTTGTACAGAACAATGCGTTGAAAAATGTTGAGAGTTAGCTCTGGAAAACAACAAAACAGCCTAAAATCATTGGGTTGGTTGGCCTCACCTTTCTCCTTATTCTCGGCATCTTGGAATCCAATGTGGCAGGTGCAGTTGGCAATCGTGGCTTCCATAACCATTGTCCATACCTTCTTCATCATGAGGATGGGCTTCTAGAAGTACAGGGCTGTACTCCTTTTTAACAATGGCCTTGATAAATATGAGATCAGCTGTCATTAGTAGTTGGAGTTTCAGTTCCGATCCATTGGTCATGGTGGTGGGAAACAAAAATGTCAGTATGATGCTCTTGAAACCAGCATATCAGGGAGGCCTGGGTAGTTATCGGTTATATTTCCTTTACTTTCTTTGATGAATTCCTTGCTTCACTTCTTACCATTAAACATTTAAAAAGCTATCTATCCGATAAAAATGGTAAACAGCCTAACTGTATTTGCATGAAAGATGTCTCTTGGTGTAGACATCTTCAGAAAGTGAGTGAAAACATTTTGCAGCTAATCATCTGTCATTGCTGCCGTAAATGCCATATTCTCACATCTTACCAGGTAGGTGACGATGACAGTACCTTGTTTTGAATGAATCTCAGATGAACTTCTTGTGGCCTAAGCTCTTTAACCTTCACTTAGCTTTGTCTCCAATTGACAGCACTTTTAACTTTCTTACAAGTTTACCACACTTACAAGAGTTTGAACACTATTTCACAGACAGGTCTTGATGTCCAATGATGGCTTTGTCCTTGATTTCATGTTCTAGAGTAGCATAAACTCCACTATGATCAGTTGCTAGGTTCATTGGAAATGCATGCACGTTTGGCTAACCTGGAGTCATCAATCCAGAACACTGAATTATCACAAGCATTTCTCTATTAAACTTTCTGTTCTGTTGGCAGGACTCAGAATTTGTCTCATCACGATTTCACAGTATTTAGAGCCAAGGCAAACATTACTTCAGAAAGATGTTGTATGTTTCTTACAATGTTAACAAAGCTGAACATTAGCCGTGGGAAAAGATAATTAAAATTAATATACAAGCACACAAAAATGGAGTGGCTCAATGAGTGCACTCATGCCTGAATCAGAAGCTTAGGAGTCCCAATTTAACACAAGATACTTGAGCACATTTGGATATGTACATGAATAGGAAAGGTTGAGGGAGTTGCGTCAAATGCAGGCAAATGGGACTAGTTTAGTTTGGAAAACTTAGTCAGCATGAACAAGTTGGACCGAAGAGTCTGTTTCCATGCTGTATGATTCTATGACACTTAGGTGCAGTATTGCAGTACAGTACCGAGGACTTTGTGGACTTCATTGTGATGGTGAATATAACTGTTAACTGGGAAGAGATTTTGGACATCTGCAAAAGGTGCGATACAAAGCAGGTTTATTTTTCTCCAACAAGTTAGGCTGCATGAAAACCCAAACCATGAATTGATTCCAAATAAAATCTTGGAAATCCCAAAATCAGGAAGAATGGAGAGAATAAAGTAATGGCAGCAAAGTGAAATATTTCCTTATAAATGCCAGGTATACATTTGTGAAGTAGGCCAAAATGAAGTAGGTACTTCATAGAAAGATGGTGAGTGACATAAATGAAAAAGTTCAAACACATCATTCACTCAAGCACAGGTAGATTAGAAGATTCCAGGCTTTATAAATGAACTTCAGAGAGTGCAGCAGTAATGATAAATTTATAAAAGTTAATGATCTGCTAGATGTGCAGTTGAGTTCCTTGCTCCCATGGCAGCTGAGTACCACAGAGAGAACACACTGGCTGAAATTTGAGGTTGAGAACAAATCATTCGGAGCAGAAACTTCATCTACTTGAATGAAATCTGTTGCAGCGGAGAATTCAAGAGCTGCTTAGAGGTTTGTATCCCCAGGGCCCAGTCCTCATCCTACAGTCTCGGACAACTGTCTATGTGGAGTTTGCACATTCACCATATGTCTCTCTGGGTTTCCTCCAGGCGCTCCAGTTTCCTCCCGCAGTCCAAAGATGTGTGGGTTAGGTGGAATGGCAAGGCAAAATTGTTCAGTGTCCAGGGATATGCAAACTTAGTGGACAAGCCATGGGAAATGCAGGTTTACAGGGATAGAGTAAGGGGGTGGGTCTGGGTGGGATGATGTTTGGAGGGCCAGTGTGAAATTGATGGGCCAATTGGCCTCTTTCTGCGCTGTAGGGATTCTATGATTCCAATTACCATGCTCACAAAATCCCCCAACTAAACCTCTTACATTTCACTCAATCCTGTGATCGAATCAAGATCAAAATACCATGCTGATTTGCACAAGTTACCATGCAAGAACCAGGTGCCAAGTATATAATCTTCAAACTTGGAAGAAATTCAGGACGAAAATCAGGAAGTACTTCTTTACACCAAGAGATTATTAAAATTTGGAATTCTCTTCACACAAAGCTAGGGATCTTGTGGGACAATTGAAGCTTTCAAAGCTGAAATGATAGTTTCCTTTAAATTAGCTAAGGTGATCAAGAAATATGGCAACAGTTAAGAAATTGTAACTAAGGTGATCACCCACAATTTAATTGAATAGTGGAGTATGATTGAAAGGGGGAATTGCCTCCTGTTGTTCCTAATTTCAAATGTTATACTTTCCTTATTCTGTTCATGAGACAAGAGCATCACTAGCTGAGCCAGCATTTATTGTCCATAATTGCCCAGCAGGCATGTAATAGTCAACCATATTCCTGGGGTTCGGAGTCACATGTAGGCAAGACCAGGTAAGGACAACAGATTTCTTCCACTAAAAACTGAACAAACTGAAATGATCATAGAATCCCTCTAGCGTGGAAGCAGGCCATCTGGCCCGAGTTCACGCTGACCCGCTAAAGGAGCATCCTACCCACACCTAGCCCCCTGCCCTATCCCTGCAACACTGCATTTTCATATGGCTAGTAATTACATGGTTGCCATTAGTCTACCTTTCTATCTGAGATTTTTGCTGAATTCAAATTTCACCATCTGCCACAGTGAGATTCAAACCAATACCCCCAGAACATTAGCCTGGGGATCTGAATTACTCATCCAGTGACATTACCATTACACCACCACTTCCCCTTATTTATTACATTGTAAAAAACTTGGGAAGTTTTCTTTACACAAGTTGCATAAGTTTTCTTTTCAGAATTTGATGCTTTGGAAATTTATTGGTAAAGATACGGAAACGTTAGTTCAATGAAGCACTGAGCATAACCGCGCTTAAATTTTTTTAGTCTGTGGTGCATATTACAAGTGGATTAATCCAGGTATGGAGCACGTGAATGAAAACTTAAAAAACTATTTACTCTCAAGCGTATAAAAATTTATTGCATGTTCGCCCAACAGGTTGACGTCCTTTGAAAAGTTACTGTGCCTGAGAAACTGTGATTATATAACTAACAATGGTTTGACAATTTGGAGGGATGTCAGCAGCAAAGAGAAAACTCAACAAGACACAGGCATTCCTGGTTTTATTTTTAAGTCAAAAAGATAAGGGTAAAGCATCTGTTGAAAACAGTGAGAGAATGAAATAGCAAGATGCAAACAGATGGCATGACAGCCAACTTGTAGGGAATCTTGTAGTACGAACATCAACAGCTGATTTCCAATAATGTGACTCTCAGTTAGTCTGAAATACTAATTCAGCTGAAGTTCAGTCATTAACCTGGCAAGACCCACAGTGCCTTGTTTAAGCACGCCAGGTAAAATAGGATTCCAGGTATAAACATAGAAAATAGTGGAAAAACTCAGATCTGGCACCTTCTGTGGAGTGAAAGAGACAGCTAACGTTTTCAGTACAGTATGGCACTTTTTTTGAAATAGCATGGGTTCAATCCCCATTCCAGCGGTGACAGGTTTGAGACTTGCCTCCTTGTCTTCCATTCTTGGGGGGCAGTGCAATGACTGCCCTGTTCGGGAAAGTGGCTCAGGGTCAAGCACCAGCATGGAATAAGGTAAATATATGTATTCAGGCAAAGCACTCATACAAGATACATTCCTGTATCAGCAATGAAGATCTATACTGAAGCTTTAACATAGTAGAACATCCCAAGGTGCTTTAAAGAAGCGTCAGACAAAATCTGACAGTCATACAGCTGTTGAGAAGCTTTCTCAAAGAGGCAGAGATTAAGAAGTGTCTTAAAGACTTCGCCTGACAAAAGAGCGGCGCACCAAACGCTTGTGATTTCAAACAAACCTGTTGTAATATAACCTGGTGTCATGTGACTTCTAACTTTGTCAGAAGGAAGGATAGAGACAGTTGGAGACATTTAGAGAGGGAACTCCAGACCTTAGCACTCAAGCAGCTGAACGTACTACTATCAATGCTGAGATTAATTAAAATCGGCAGTGCACCAGGTGCCATAATTGGAGAGGCATAATTGTGGTAATTTTGGAGGTTTGGAGGGCTGGAATAAATTGCATATATAGGGAAAGGGTGAGCCCGAGAAAATTTGCTTGACCAAAAATAATATAATTTATGCACTCAAAAATTAGCACAGTTGATACACAAGGGAGACTTGCACTAGAAATTAGTTGCTTGTTTTATTTACCTCACCATTAACTTGAGTTTTTCAAAAACTAGAAGGTTACCTATTCAAATGTATACAATTAATGGCAAGTGGAGAAAGGCAGAGTACATTTCTTGATTTAGATCATTGCCCTATCTCCTGCCTTTCCACACTCCATTCTACTTCAAAGACATGACTTATTAAAGCAGCAACCTTGCTCTGAAATACTTTGTTTTACCTTGCAGTTCAGCATCTCTTGAACCCGTGCTTGAGGGCTCTGGTCCGCCTTGGGTCTTACTAAGATATATGCAGCCTTTACTGCTGGACAAGAGCGCAGCAGCTTCTCAAGTAGCACCTTCCCCATGAAGCCAGTTGCTCCAGTGATAAGTACATTCTTGTCCTGATAGAACTCTGGTATAGACACCATGTTGTCGTACCAATGTGAGCAATAAGATGTCAACTAGTCTTGAGCGGAGAAATCTACCTGCCAGAAAAGAAGCGAGCAATTTAACATAACAAATAAAGTAGAAATATTTCTCTCGCCAAGATAACATCTTCCCCCCCGCAAACTACAGAACACAATTTTTCAACAAACCAGACAAATTCTGAAGTCTCAGTTAGCAAAGCAGGACAAATAGTGCTTGTTACATTCGCAATGTTTCAGGCATCCTGCACAAGATGCAAAGCATTTCACCCTTTGTTAATTCCAGAGGAATAAATTGCCCAATGACTTGGAGTATCAGTAGGATCTCCAAAGCTCAGCTATTTCTGCCTGAAATAACAGAAAAGTTGCCATTGAAGCATTTTAAACTTTGAAACTAACAGCAATGTAAATGACTAACACGCATTTCATTTTGGCCAATATGACCAACTGTTTAAAGCAGCAGACTGACTTATTAAAAATGCCTGTTTTGAATTGTAGGCATTTGAAGTGGTAAGGACTGCACTGAAGAGAAAATTCTGAATAACATACAAGATCTCTGTACCCCCCAAAATATAACTGTTCTCAAGATCTGAGCAATGCTGGGAGGTCTCCATTTATTGCCCATCCCTAGTTGGCGAGAGAATTGCAAGTCAACTACAAAGGAGTTTGTCCAAGTACATCTTTTGCTTCCAGATACGTGCTTATCCACTGCATATTCCAGCATTTTGTTTTACTTCCAATTTCCAATATTGATGGAGTTTGAAACTGATGCATTTATTTATTTTAAAAAGCAATTTTGTAAAACAAGTCCAGTTAGCTACAAGTCCACTTCATATTTTGTAATAATTTGTTCAGAATGCCAAATATTAATATATATTGCTTATACATCAGTTTCGTTCACAACATTCATCCATTTATCAGATGTTAAACAAATATCCCACTTGATCTGAGGAGGACACAAAGGAATATAACGTCACAACTCAAGAGAGTTCTTCCTCGTTTCCTGGTTAATATTTAACATTCAAACATCATCAGGACAGATAATCTGGCCAATATCATGTTGCATTTGTAGGCCCTTGCTGTGTGGAACTGGTTGCCGCATTTACTACAGTATAACAGTGACTGCATTTCAAAAACTTTTCATTGAATTTAGGAAATTATGGTTTTGAAAGGGATTAAGTAACAAATTGTTTTTTTAAAAAAAGAAAAAAATTAACCTCTCAAGTCAGAATGTCTCTGCTTAGGGTCCCTCTAGTCTGGGCAGGAAGAAACATTTTCCCTTGGTGAAGGGATCAATGCCCACTAGCATAGATTTAAGGCAATGGACACAAGGTTTACAGGGGATGTGAGGAAATTCTTTTCCACCCAGAGGGTGGTGGAATTCTGGAACACACTGCCTGGAAGGGTGTTGAAGCAAGACCCTTTCATAACATTGAAGAAGTATTTAGATGCATACTTGTGATGCCAAGGCATACAGGGCTATGGATCAAGTGCTGGAAAATGACACTAGAATAGTCAGGTGGTTGTTTCTGTTGGTACAGGGCCTTTTCTGTGCTGCAGACCTTTAATGACTATAGCCCATTTTCAGTTCCTCATACCATCGAAAGGTATCATTCCAGCACTCAAACAAGAGTACAGTGTCCTCTTGATACCTCAGCCCATAAAAACCTATACCCCAAATCCAATTAACTGCTTCTGGGTTCTTAACAGTGTATATAACCTGGCTGTCAATATTTTCCTACAGAGGTGACTGTACTTAAAATGCAAAACTGATTGACCATGGACCAATGGTGGACAATGTAATAAAAAAAGCTGCCATATAAATTCAATTCTCTCTAGTAAAGAGAATGCTGAGGACAGCAATAGGATCTTTAAAAGTGTTTGATATGACAAATATGGAGATGACATTACTTTAAAAGGAATCCAAAACAATAAGATATGGTAATTACTGAAGAATCCATGAAGAAATTCAGGGAAAACTTCTTTACCCAAACAGTGGTAATAATGTAGAACTCACAATCATGTGAGTAGCTAAAGAAGTGAATAGTACCCATGCATTTCAAGAACATAGAGAATTTTGCCAGAGGAAGTGCTGAATGCAGGTACAGTTGCAACATTTAGAAGACATTTGACTAAGTACATGAATAGGAAAGGTTTGGAGGGATGTGGGTCAAACGCAGGCAAGTGGGACCAGTTTGGTTTGGGAACATGGTTGGTGTAGACTAGTTGGACTGAAGGGTCTGTTTCCATGCTGTGTGACACTAACTCTACATACAAGGAAGGAAGGAAAAAAAAGGGTACGGACGTGGCTTCTGTGAAATGCAAGCACAGACACATCGGTTGAATGGTTCATTTCTGTGCTGCAAATTAAGCAACTATATAATGCCACGTAAAAATATCCTCCCAAAAAAATAAAACAAAGAATAGCAGATGCTGGAAATCTGTGGAGAAAAAGCAGAGTTAATATTTAGGATTCAGTAACCCTTCCTCAGAAGTTTCACTGGTCCCAAAAGTTTAAATTGGCAAGCATGGTCAACTCTAAGACTATAACTCACTTTGCCATAACAAAACATATGTATGCAGATGACAATATCAAATGTGGAATTATTCACAGCAAATCTAGCAACACATTGGAAATAACAGGACAGTTATACCACAACATACAAATCATCATTTAATTTCAAGATATAGTTGTGCTCAAGCTGGTTAGTTCCTTTGGGCCACAAAATCCCATTAAGCAAGGTTTTAAGGTTAATTAAAGATTAATTATTGCTTAAAGTTTACACATTGACAGGTGTCAATGAAATCCTAAATTCCTATGAAGAATTTTGCATTTTTTTTTCACTTGTACCATCTGAAGTGTATTGGATTCAAAGCTGTGTACTGCTAACAGACAGACAGGGTGTAGTGCACTGCTTCAGGATTGTTAGGTTATTAAGTGCAAATTTGGATATATTACTCAAAAGTAAGGCACTAAAATGTTAGACATGCTAATCACTAATACAAAATGTACATACAGGTCCATCATGTCAATGCTTTCAAAGTCAGTAAAACATTAGAGGTAGTTTGGAATTTAACTGAAAATCAAGAATTGAAAAACAGGAAGAGTACAATAATTACAATAAACTTATGCAAAGCATGTTGCTAATTAGATTATGAGAAGTGAAGGACAAAAACATAATAAGTACGCTATGGTACAAGAGTAAGTATTCTGATAAATCAAAGATACTTGATTATCAGTATGAGCTGAGCAAGCTATATGTCATTCCTAATATAGATTGTGGCACATCTCATTGCAATCCAGAGCAAATTACGACTACAGATTCTTCAAACACAAAAAGAGTAACAGAATATACTATTGGAACAGTCGTCATTTCAGCAGGAACACTGCATGTACGTCAAGTTGTCAAGGTTAAGCCTAAACAGGGAGATGGCCAAACAACAGTCTCAAGGAAGGATATGGGTTGAAAGCTTGCAGTAGACAAATTGTAGGTGAATTTAATATTGATGAATCATAGATATCTGAAAGTGGTGTTAACTGCAGCCAGAACTACAACACTGAAGATAAAAAACCCCTCAGCCTGCACCCCTCCCCAAAATGCATTCTTATCCATAATTTACTTCTAAAAGGGAATTACATGATGAAAGGCAGAAGTGACCAAATTAGGGACAGATATCACTGAGTCAGTATGCACATTAAAGGATAAGGGGCAATATGACTACTAATATATACTGAGCCAGGTGACTGACCATACAAATCTGGACACATTCCCATTATCTCTTCCTTCTTCAATCTCAAACTTAGTAATGCTTATGCAGGACAAATACAAACCAACCAATCACAGTGACTCTTGAGGCTCCCCAAGACTAGTGGTCTACGGGCAGGTCCAAAATACAAGACAAAGTATAATGCCTAAACCAAGGTCGTATAACAGAAACAAGCCAAAACCCTCACTCCACTACTTGCGTGGCATCACACAACCAGACTGGCTGGCAAACTTGTGGCATGAGTTGTCGCAAGTGGTAGCAATAACAATGTAGTTTTGCATGCAAGATTTATAATGCAGTTGGACTGAGAACATAAAACTGCAGGATCAGATTTTCAAAAGTGATGAGGCTGAAACAAAAGAAATCAGACAAATCTGATACTGGACATCAGGTCATTGGTCTCTCATCAAAAGCAGCACTAATTTTCCCATTAATCAAGCACAAAGGGAGATAATTTTAGTTTCTGGAGGCAGTTACCTGAGGAGTTCTTCAGGGCAGGGTCAACAGTCCAAACTGCTTCATCGATGACCTTCCCATCATAAGACCAGAAGTCAGGATGCTCAGTGATTACTGTAGAGTTTTCAGTTCTATTTGCAGCCTAATTCCACTTGTCTCAGGGTGAATGGTGAAAGTAGAAGTCACGTCACGCAAATGGTCCATTTCCAACAAGTGGGTGTCTAACTACCTCCATCTTGATATTCAGTGAGATTATCAATGCCAATTCCTGACCAACATTCTGAGGGCTCATCACTGACCAGAAACTTAACTGGATGCAAAGCAAATATCATGCCTACAAGAGCAGGCCAGAGATTGGACAGTGTCTCACCTTTTACATTCATCGAAACCTTTCTACCATTTACAGACAAGTGAGTGATATGATGGAATCCCCTTCACTCACCCCGGATGAGTGCTGCTTCAAGAAAATCCAAAGTTCTCCAGCATCCAAAATAAAGCTGTAGCAGTGCATACCATCCAGAAGATACACTGTAGCAACACACCAAGGTTCCTCCAACAACACCTCTCAAACCTGCAACTTCTGTCTGCCAGAAGACAAGGGCAATGGATGCATGGGAACATTACAAAAAAAGTTATATCATCTTGACTTGGAGATTTATCACTGTGCTTCAATAACTACAACCAGCAGACAATTTCACATGCCAATCACCACTTGATTGCATGAGCTTCTTCCATCATTTAAAACTTAGTCTGAAGCTTGTGCTCAATTCAGGATCAAGTAGTCGAATACTCTTACAATACCCAAAGTCAGGTTGGCAAACATTTAACTTCAGCAG